CGGGTCCGTGTGCCTGATGCACCTCACGTAGGAGGGCTTGGGAGGAGACCAGGCTGCTGTAGGTCTGTGAGCAGCAGAGGAGAGGGACCAGATACTGGGGGGGATGGGACTCTGCATCGGGGACTGGAGCAATAGGACAAAGGGTGATGGGTTCAGACTGAAACAGGGGAGAGTGAGGGGCTTGGAGCAAGCTGCTCCAGTGGAAGGGGTCCCTGCCCATGGCAGGGGTTGGAGCTGGATGAGCTTTAAGGTCCTTCCAACCCAGACCAGTCTGTGAGTCTATGAATCTATGTTGCTTGACACCAAGAAGCTCTTGCTGAGCATCCCCTCGCCAAGGAGGGCAAGTGCAGCACTTCGCTCTATTTTCAGGTTTGGTTTGGATCATTACACACGGCTCTTAAATACCCATTTACTCTGTCTCCCATCTCGTTGGCCCAGAAGCAAGAGAATAAAACATTAAAAGAGGAATGTGATTATAATCCTGTAAAAACTGACAGGGGAATTTGGCAGCCGGTGAATGTCACACATAATATTTTATTCATTTTTTATGACGATTAGATTTCAAGCTGACAGTTTAAATGGCAAAGCACCTTAAAGATGTCTTGCGGACAGTGTGAGAAACCTGTCAGTGTGGTTTTTCTTTGCTAAGTGTGGAGTTTGCAAGGTCCTGGCCCTGACAAAACCCAGGATCCTTTGGCTTTAGCCGAGCTGTGTAAGTGCAGGAGGTGGGAGCGATGAGTCCCTCCTATTAATAACTTGTATTACAGCATTGTCATTGGTGGCTCACAGGCTCCTTTATACCTGAGTGAAGAGCAGTGCTGCCTGTTCCAGGGGCACTTCTTGGCCAAAAAGGGATGTTCTTGGAACAAAAACACTGTATTTTTGCTTTTGTTGTCCCTTGCTCCCATAACTGGGAGCAGTCATGGGATGAGGCTGGAGATCCAGGCAGAGAACCTGCTCAGATCTGTTACTGAACGTATTGACTGTTCACGTAGGTTACTCGGCATGGAGAGTAGATCCAGGGGACTGACAGAGTTCCCCATCCCAGAATATCCCCGCTGACAGCAGGAGCTGGAACCAACGATGCAGAACCCTCCTGGCAGTGCAGGAGCTTCCCACGTCCTGCTGTCGGGTTGGGGTTCTGGGGTGCAAGGGAAGCAGTGCTTGTGTACGACATGCACCAAGGGATGGTTCCGGCTCTCAAGGAGTAGTGAACTGTGGATGTTTGTGTTCCCGTGGTCCTCAGAGCATCCTTGTGGGCAGCAGAATGAAAATGAGAGGAGTGGGAGTCTGCTCCCATGTTCCCGTTTCCTGGAGCGAGAAGCTGGCTGTGGTTTGCTGAGCTGTAATACTGGATGCTGTGTGTGCCTCGTTCAGCATCCAGCCTGAATAGGATTGGAAATGCATAAAACTCTGCAATGGGCATTTGCAGCTTAATGAAAATATTCCAGAATTCTTTTCTTTTGGATGGGAAAAAAATGACTGAAGGTCATTTGGAGGCTTGGACCATGTCTCCATCTGCTTGCAAGCTCTTGGAGACTGGGCATAAACCTCATCTCTGCTTAGCTGAAAATAAGGATCCTGGAGTAGGGTAGGGGTGTAGTGCAGCAGGCTGGGAAGGTATCCTCTTCTGGAGGAGGTCCAGGGAGTTGTAATGAGATTGCTGAAGGTCCAGAAACCACTATCTATCTATCTATCTATGTCTATCTTGGGGTGCATAAAAGGGTGGGGGGTGGTTGCTTTCTGCATTCTCAGGGGATAGGGCAGGAGGTGTGGTCCTAAAATTGTAGGGAAAAAAGTTCAGATTCAATATTGGGCAATAGTTTCCTTCAAAATAACAACTGGATGTGATGGTCTGAGGAGCTCGTGGAGCTGCTCGAACGTGGAAATGGCTTGGAAATGTCTTTAGAATATTTCTTGGTGGTCATTTTCTCATGATGAAGGTGCAGTTTATCCTCCTGCAAGTGAGAATTGTCTCAGTGCTGGCATGGAGCAGTGAGGCTAGGAAGGGCTGTTTCAGTCTGGAATAAGCAAGAGATGACAAATGATGTTCTGGGGCTTCAATTTTCAGTCACTTAAAAAGACTGTAGTGGCTAAAGATGCTATGAGCTTGCTTGCCCCTCTGCAAAGGCAGATGTTGGCTAGAACTATTTTAGGCTCTTTAATTCTAAAATGGAATGCTGTAGATGTTAAATTGCATGACTTGCCTCTTGGTGGTACAGCCTTTCCAGAACACTGGAGCTTGAGTTGGAAGAGATGGAGAAGGGGGAGTGAGCGTGGCCTTTAGTCCAGCCACTGCTCTTTAAAGAAGTATCAGTAAAGACAAGTTCCTGGCTCTGTGTGAGTACTGGAGAAACAGAAACAGCCATTTTAGAGATCCTAAATGGCCACTTGTCCATCCTTTAATTGTACCTTGGGAATGGGAACCATTTTAACTCGCTTCCCACGCGCAGCGGAGCCGCAGGGCTGGACGGTCTCTGCTGTGCTCTTGGGAGATCCCATGGGGCTCCACACGCACCCTTGGTGCACAGCCTCAGGCCAGGTAAAGGGGTGAGTTCTTCATTCACCACATCAGTGTTCACTGCATGTCACTTCTTCTGTTAAATCCACACAAATCAATTCAGGTTTCAAGGTTTAAATCAGCTTTTAGTTCCTTGCTTGACATAATAAACATCTTTAATCATAGAATTCCAGCCTGGTTTGTGTTGGAAGGGACCTCAAAGCTCATCCAGTTCCAACCCCTGCCACAGGCAGGGACCCCTTCCACTGGAGCAGCTTGCTCCAAGCCCCTGTGTCCAACCTGGCCTTGAGCACTGCCAGGGATGGGGCAGCCACAGCTTCTCTGGGCACCCTGTGCCAGCGCCTCAGCACCCTCACAGGGAAGAACTTGTACCTATCTGCAATCTGAACTTCCCCTGTTTCAGTTTGAACCAATCACCCCTTGTCTTATCACTGCAGTCCCTGATGAAGAGTCCCTCCCCAGCATTCTTGTAGCCCCCTTCAGACACTGGAAGCTGCTCTGAGGTCTCCACTCAGCTTCCCTTCTCCAGGCTGAACAGCCCCAACTTTCTCAGCCTGGCTCCAGAGCAGAGCTGCTCCAGCCTCTGGTCATGCTTGTGGCCTCCTCTGGACTTGCTCCGACTTCAGGGCCATCCATGAGAGCTTCTGGAGCAGAGCTGTTGTAAACTGGACTGACACTGACTGAAGGGAATGGCCAGGCTTGCTCAGCTGTGGGTGTCGGGACGCAGAGCACGGTGAGGAGCCCTTGCTGTGTTGTTGGCTTTTGGGGCAGAAGGTCCCATGGGCGCAGGAAGGTCCAGATGGGCTCCACAGGAAGGTGTCCGTATCTGCTAAAGCTGGTGTCTGGCAGAGCACCTCCATGGCTGAGCTATTTCCCAGTCCTGGGAACAGCAAGAAAAGGTGAAGTATCCCCAAGAGCATCCCCTTTGGGGACCAGCGGGCAGGGCTGTCTTTTCCATATCACTTGGCTCTCCCTCAGCCCAGCCTCCACAGGGCAGGGTGCCGAGAGCCAGGATGGGGCTGCCTTGTCTGCTTGTGGGAGTATCAGGTTGAACCAGGCTTTGCTCTGCGAGGAGGCTTTGTTCTGGGGCAGCCTTGTCCCCTTTCCAGACATGTCATAAAAACAAACCCAAAAAAGCACAAGAAGAAAACAAGCAGCCATGAAAACAGAGATCAATCTGAGCTGGGGCTGCCAGGTGAAAGGGAAACAGAATAATCTCTGTTCTTGAGGCCTTGCAGTGGTTTTGACTTTCAAATGCCCCAGCCCTCGGTGGGTCCCTGCACAGGGATGCTGCTGGCAGGACCTCATTCCTCCTCCCGAGCCTGCTGTCCCGGCTGGATCAGGCACTGCAGCTTTAACCTGAGGATGCCTTTTCTCTGCGTTGAGTCTGGTACTTGGCAAATGTATTCTCTGGTCTGGAACTGTGTGCAGGCTCGAGCCTGAGGAAACCCTAAGATGTGGGGAGGATGGCAGAGGGATGGTAAAGATGGCCTGGCAGGCAGTGGGAATGCTGAGACAGGACCTGAGTGTATCGTGGCTCTCAGATGCTGGGATTTTAATACGTGAAGGAAGTCTAGGTACTCCAAGGATCACAAAGCCTTGTTTGTTAAAGCCTCCTTAAAGGATGATCTTAAGGTCCTTTCCAACCCTAACTGTTCTATGATTCTATGATTGAACCTTTAAGGTTTAAGGTTGAACCTTAAAGTATTCAGTCCTTAAATGATTCAACCACATCAATGATGTTAAAGCTATCATAGCAGAGAGAGCTCATACAATGGAGGGAGAGGTGATAGAGGAAGAGTGGCAGACAAGCAGCTGGGGCCGTGCTGTTAGCACTGCTTGGTGCTGGTGTTGTGTAAGTCATTGCAGGACATTTACACAAACTGCTGGAATAAAAACCACTCTATCAGCAGTCTGATATTTGTTTCTTATTATATGTTAAACTTTCTTTGGCACAGGAAGCGTTGTCACCTGTTATGTCAAGGTCCAGGCATTCATCACTGGGATCTTTCCAAGTGTGTTGAAACCCCATTGGTTCAGAATAAGCCTTTCCTTCAGGTCAGGGGAGGAAAAAAAGCAAAGGAAGGAAAATGGACAAGCTGTGGCATCGAGCAGGCATTGGCAGCATTTCTTCTTGGGATTTCCACACTCGGGTCTGAGTTCTCCCCAGCTTTGTGCGCGCTCTGTTTCCCATCAGTTAAACTGGGAGGATACCATGCAGCAGGCACCATGCAGCACACACCGTGCAGCAGCCGGTGCTGTGGGTCTGGGGGAGCTTTGCCCGAGTGGCTCTGCAGCAGGGAGCATGGGGACACCTGAGTGAGGGAAAACCTTTGCACATCCTTCAACGCTCCCCCAGTTCCTTTGCCTGTTTTTCCCTTCTCTTTTCTTCCTCATCCCCTGGGGTTTGGTCTGTGTGCATACAGGCAGAGTGGGAGCCTCGTGTCTGCAGGGGTTTGGAGGGGCTGAGTGGTGCTGGTGATTCTGTGAGCTCTCCCATCTCTTCAGTTACTTACTTGAACCGAATGGACTCACTGGTTGTGTGCAGGGTCTGGCGAGCAGGATCCAGCCTCAGCAGCACAGCAGCAGGAGGGAACCTTAGGGAACAGGAGCGCATGTGCTGGCTGCAGCACAGACACTTGGGGCGTGCTGCTGGGGGAGCAGAACCTGTCGCTGGCCGTGCTTGCAGCAATCAAGTGCAAGTTTTCCTTTCCTCAGGAATCACGACCCCATTTTCCTATTTCTCACTCTCTGGCTCACCTTTTCCCAGGGTGACTTTGTTTCCCAGTGGGCTGCTTTCTCCCCTCCTCTGAACTTCATCCCAGAAATCCACTTGGCTGGTTATTCATTTAGATGGTTAAGGTTAGCATTATGAAATGCCTCGGGGCTGGCTCTGCTGCTTCTCCAGGATGAGGGAATGGGGACTGGATGGCAGCAGAGGAAAATGAAGGGCAGAGAGGCAGCCCCCAGCTCCAAGCAGAGGTTATATATAGCTGCCAGCTGCAGCGGTGTCGCTCAGGGGCTGTGGTTGCTGCTCTGAATACCTTCTTGGCCAGTGAAGGTTTCCACTTGTGTGACCAGGAGCTGGGAGCTGCATCCACGAGGTTTGTCCCTTTATACCAGGTTGGGAGCAATTCAGTGGTTAATTCGGCCAGCTCGGTTAACTTCCTACAAATGATGGCTTTGCTTAATGAGTGGGCAAAAAGAACATCCAAGGTGTGTGGTTTGGGATGCTCCAGGGAGGATGCACTGGGGGAGCATGGCGGGGTGAATAGTATGAACTGGGAGACGCATAGAGCTGATCAGTGGTTTGGGTTTACTTCTGTCCTTTCCTAAGCAAGGGTCTCCTTCGGAGGCACAGCAGTGATTTGTGGTGTGTCCTTTCTTCCAGCCCTGAATCCCGGCGCAGCTGCAGCAACTGACGCACTTTAAAGATGCCTGGGAGTGTGGAAGAGGAGCTGGAGAAGGACAGGCCGAGGATGTGGTCCCTCGTGCAGGTAGGTCACTGCTGCCACCCTGGGCTCTGGGTGCTCCATGGACCATGTTCCTTCCTTGTGCGGCCTGGGGGGAGATTGCAGGATTAAGGCTGTTCTAGCCCCATACCTGAAACCAGTGCTAATACAGTGGTTTGCTGCATTAACCTTTGAGCCCTGCTCTGCCCCATGGTGGGTACAGGTCTGGGGTTCTACTCTACGTGTTCCTAAGAAGGGAGCAATTTATGCAACATCCCTGGAGACATTCCAGGCCAGGCTGGATGTGACGGGGTTGGAACTGGATGAGCTTTAAGGTCCCTTCCAGCCCAAACCGTGCCGCGATTCTGTGTTTGCTCTAGGTTTCCTGACACATTTCCAGTTGTGCAGGCTACATCCAGGCTGTTAAACTGGTAGGAATAACCTGATGGACGCTGGTGTAGCACGTGATGTGCTGGGATTCATGTGTACCCTCGGCCTCCTGAGAGCCAGCCTCAATTAGTGGCATAGTAGGTGGGTCCTCAAACCCCTCATGGCAGCGATCTTGCAAAGGCAGTGAGTGTTGCTGCTCCTGGGTTGTGTTACCATGGCAGAGGATTCAGTAGGAAGAAGAGGGTAAAACTGTTGTAGCTTCACTCTGCTTTGGTGAACAGGGTCAGGCTCTGTTGGGAGGGAGAGACGGCAGAAGGAAATTCAGTTTCATATCCTTTGGTATCTGCCACGGAAAGATGGTGACGATGCATTAGGATGCTCTGTGTGGAGGGTCACTGGGTGAGTGGGAAGGATTCCTGTGCATTGCATCGGCAGAAATCATGTCCTTTATTACTCAAGGGCTCGCACCAGAGACCACTCATGGCTCTGTAGCAGCGTGTGTCACAGTCCTGTGTGGCACATGGAGGCTTTCCAGTGTCTTCTTAGGGCCTCGGCCGCTTTCTCTCCCCATCGCCCTCCTCTGATGCCCTCTCCCTCCTGGTTCATTTGCTTTAAACTGATGGTGCTGATGTGTGCATCAGCAAGCACATCTCCTGCCTTGCTCTCCTCTTGGGCTGAAAGTGCAAAGCAAACCTGTTCATGGTCTTGGTGAGCTAATTCTTCCACACCTTAGATTTTAAATAGACTCTTTCCTGCTTGCTGAAATAAGGAATAAATAAGAAATAATAGGTAATAAATAGTAAATAATTCATTAACAACAAATAGTAAATCATAAGTAATAATAAATTCTGTGTTTAAATAGACTTCCTGCTTGCCAAGCTTGCAGGATGTATTGAAGCAATGGGGAAAATATGCTGTGTGTTAACCTTCCTTGTTGTAATACTATTTACAGCACCCCATTCCTGCAGTGCCTTTGGGAAGTGCATTTTTGGATGCTGAAGCACGTAGAAAGCTTTGAAATAGGAAAATAGGAATTTAGTGCATTTGGGGAGGAAATGTTTTCAGTTTTCAGCTTTCAGTGCTTGGATTTTGGACCAAAACCCAGTGAGCTGGGCTCAGTTTTCCCTTCAGAGATTTAACTTCTCCTCCTGCAATCCCAGTTCTTGGGCTCAGCTGCTCCTTGGGCTGCCTGTTGCCTTCAGACAGGCTCCTCCAAGGCACCCACTGACTCAGATGAAGGTAAGAGCAGTGAGGAATGCTCTTGGCCTGGAAATAGTGTTGGATTGAGGGCTCGGGATGTCACTGGTGTGTTGGAAGTGTTATTTTTACCTCTTGATTTCATCCTTCCTATGGATCAGTCTCAGACCTGAATTCTGTTCAGGTTAACAGCCATTCCTGCAGGGGTTTCAGAGGTCCTGCTCCATGCACAGCGCTGTGACCAGGGTGTTTGGGCTGCTGGGAGTGTCTGTGGTGCCTGGATGATGGCTTGGCTCCAGCACTGGTGCAGGAGCTCCCCATAGCGCACCCGCCCCACTGCTGCTCCTCCTCTCCTCAAACCTGACCATTACTTATTCCTAAACTAAATATCATATCATATCATATCAATATAATATAAATTAATAAAAATAATAGAATATAAAAAATGTAATAAATATACTATAAATAATTATTTGTTTTGTAAAGGTGTGAGCTGCTGGTGACAGGCTCTACAGAGAGGTGGCCATGCCTGTGCAAACGCTCTTCTCCAGCCTGAGCTTTACAGAGCAGATGCTGGCTTGGCTGAGGCCCCTGGGCACTCCCGCAACCTGAGGAAGCAGGAATAAGATGCCAAGGCAAGCAAGTTTTTGCTGTAGTTGATATCGTGCCCCTGCAGCCACTGTGTGTAGGGCTTTTGTTATCAGCTCTTGTTGCTGACAACCTGCTGGAGGTGGTTCTGCAGAGGCTGAGGGGTACATCCCCATCAGTGGTGTGTTGTTAGTGAAGGCAGGAGCCAGGGTGTGGAAAGCACGGGAGGCTTTCACAACAGTGGGTGCTCTGCATGTAACCTTGGATCCCAGCTACAGCACTGAGCCTTCTCCTCACCAGGGTCTATGTGCATTGGGTGTTCAGGAGTGGCAGGAAGGTCTTCTAGTGAGCAGCTTTAGAACCAGCTGGGCTGAGGCAGGGTTGTCATCCTCACTGCTGCCACCAACCATTCCACCAAATAGCTGCGCAGCCAGTAGGGAAGAGGTGGGGACAAGGTGTATTTCATTTCACTACCTGAAGAGAAATGTTTCTTGGGAGCAAATGTTCACCTGCACATCTGCAGCAGAGCACAAAGTATAGAATTCCCTGCTCAAAGGCTTTGACAGCAGAACTTTGTTTTATCCATGTAATTCAGAGGTGCTTGGGCTTTCTTAGGATTTGGGTTTTTCTGGTGGTAGTGGGGTTTCTTCCTCTTATTGGAGGTGAAGTTCTCCCTTTTGGTTGTTTTTATTGTTTGTTTGTTGGTTTCCTCTTTTCTTTCCCTTTTTCTCTGTCCCTGTTGAGCCAGTGGCTTCCGATGCTCCGTTGGAAGGTGGTGGTTGAGCTGAGCACTGAGCAGTGCTCATCATGCCCCAGGCAGGCAGCCGTAGTCCTGAGCATGGAGCAGTGGAGCTCTTCTGGGGTCTCACCACAGGGCTCTACCCCCATTTTCATTCTCCTATCTCCCCAATCAGTATGTGTAACTCTCCCCAGCTTTCACCTCAGACACTGTTCTCCTGATGCCCTTCCATCCCTTCCGCTCATCCCTCCCTTCATACTCTTCTGACTGACCTGTCTGCCTGGGGCACTCATGCAATATCACGTGTGTGACAAATTAAATAGCTTGTACTCAGGAAGATGAGGCCCCTGGATGCTTAAACACTGCATAAACTTCTTGGCTAGACCTGCACTGGCTGCTTTGACTCCCGCCCGCAGTTCAGCCCACATTCTATTGCATGAAAGGCAAATTCCATCCTGCATGGCCCTTTCCAAACCCGTTGCCCAACACTTTCACTGTTTGTCATCAGCTGGAAGTGATCTGAGTGCTGTTGATAGCCACAGATGTGGTCTGATGGACTCTGCATGAAGAATTGCATCTGTCTATAGAAGGGTTTGGGTTTGCTGTTCCTGTTTGCCAGTTGCAAGAGCTTCTCCCCATGCTGGAGTCACTCTGGGGCATGGGGGGATGCTGCAGCCCGGGCTCTGCTGTTCCTCTTGGCTCCTCAGTAGCCAGGATGCTACTGAGATGCCTTCAGCCTGCTGTATGTGATGAGGGTACCCTGAGGTATGGAAGGCTCCGGTGCTGAGAGATGCTGTAGGCAGGTTTTCATTAGGAAGGAAAGGAACTGTGCCCATGGCTCATGAAAGCTGGATAAAGGCCATTTGGTTGTTTTTGTAGCAACACAAACTGATGCACGTCAGGCTCAAGGAGAGGCCTCATGAGAAGGGAAAGGTTTTTTGGTGCATGTCTCAGTGCTAAGGCTGCAGTATTCTGTTTCATGCAGAGGTATTTATGAATGAAGATGCAAATGGAACCTGAAACTTGGGAACTGGTGAACTTTGATTCGCTGCAGGCCACCATTCAACTCAAAGCCATTAACTGCAGAGGAGAAACAACTTCTTATGTCCCCGCTTGACCTGGAGCCTTACAGGCACTTTGGCGGTTGAGCTCTGTGCAGCACTGGGGAGGTGTCTGCTCACAACACCCATGCAGCGAGCCTCATTTTGTTTTATTTCCAGAACAATGCTTTGAGTTTGGGCAGGAGACTTGCGATAATTCTGTGCCAATATAGTTCAGCAGAACCTCTTGGCAGGGCTTTTAAATGCAAACTGGGAGGGTTTCTGACTAAAGGTGACCCATTAAAAGTCAGTTTTCTGATAAAGATGCTGCGAGGGCTGGAACCAGGCTGAGAGAGCTGGGCTGGGTCAGCCTGGAGAAGAGAAGGCTCCTGAAGGGGAGACCTTAGAGCAGCTCCAGTGCCTAAAGGGGCTGCAGGAAACCTGGAGAGGGGCTTGGGACAAGGGCCTGTAGGGACAGGCCAAGGGGAATGGCTTGAACCTGCCCGAGGGGAGACTGAGCTGAGCTCTTAGGCAGAAGCTCTTCCCTGTGAGGGTGCTGAGGCGCTGGCACAGGGTGCCCAGAGAAGCTGTGGCTGCCCCATCCCTGGCAGTGCTCAAGGCCAGGTTGGACACAGGGGCTTGGAGCAAGCTGCTCCAGTGGAAGGGGTCCTTGCATGGAGCTGGATGAGCTTTAAGGTCCCTTCAACCAAAACCATTCTATGAAGCACTGTGACTGGGGCTCACAGTCTGGGTTCAGTTGCTTGCTTTGCTATGAGCTTCCTGTGACCTTGGGCAAGTTATTTAAAATTGCTCTGTGCCTCATTTCCCTTTCTGGAACACACCAGGGAGCGTTTCCCTTCCAACCAGGAGTCTGGCAGTGGGAAGGCAGTCCGTACCCTTTATCCATAGCGGGTGCGTGATGTACCTTGGGCAGATGGTTTCACCGCTCAGCCCTTCAGTTCTTTCTTCCCAGTGAGGCTAGCAGTGCTGACCACCCTATTGACCACTTCCTAGGTGTCAAGAGAGGCTTCCCAGCATCCCTGAAACATGGTGAAACCTCCCAGTTGTAAAGGCAGACAGCTGGGGGTCAT